TCTGTAAAACCACATCTCTGAGGCCTCAAGAAATTGTTTAAAATGCCTACCGATTGTCCAGGATTCACAGTCATATGTTAGAACTGGATGTATGTAGCAAGCACAAATTCTTTTTCTTACTCTCAATGACAAGGATATATTGCACGAGTTTTTCCTCATTTTATAAAATGCAGTTTTTGCCTGTCCTATTCTGTTTCTCATCTCAGTTATGCATCTTCCATCTGATGTTATCCATGTGCCCAGATACTTTAATTTCTGTACTTGTCCCAAAATAACACCATCGACTTTTATTACACACTTAGGAATAATTCGTTTCTTTGATACCACCATTACTTCTGTCTTCCCATTATTCAAACTGAGGCCCATTCTTCCACTTTTGAATACCACAATGTCTATCATTTCATGTAGTTCTTTCTGTCTTGTTGCTGTCAAGACTGTGTCATCGGCATAGCGAATATTGTTTATATTGTGCCCACCAACCACAATTCCGGGTATATCAATCAAAGATCTCATTATATATTCTCTGTATAGTGAAAACAAATCAGGTGACTGTACACATCCTTGTCGTTCGCCCCTCTTTATTTTTTGAAATTTACCTAAACAATTGGTAATTCTTACAGCTGCTGTTTGGTGCCAATTCTTATTATTCGTAGATCTTTCCCATCAATGTTTAATTTTTCTAACAGTTTGATTACTTCTTCATGCTTCACACAGCCAAATGCTTTTGTATAGTCTATGAAGCATATGCACAAATCAGTCTTTACTTCTATAGCTCTTTCTGACAATATCCTTAGGATGTATATGGCATTGTTTATACCTTTTCCTTCTACAAATCCACACTGTTCATCGCTGATTTCTGGTATCTACGACATACTGTCAATATTGATGTTGTTCGCGGTTCCAGTCTGTAAACACTTGTTTGTTCATCCATGTCTGGACTTTAGCTTTGTTCCAGGACTTGCCGTTTTACACATCCTTATGCAGACTGTTGATTCTTTACCTCTCAGGCGGATGCACTCCGACTCTGAAGGAAGCCACGACTTAGTTGCTTCTTACGACATGCTTGTTGAGGCAGTGGGTCTGTTTTCCCTCACAATTTGACCGCGGAACCCACACGGGGATCAAGACCGATTTTTTGGATCTTTGTGCTTGCAAAATAAATCTAACAGTCCTGCCCAACTTGGAATAAAGTAATGGATCTTTTCCAAGCATTTAGGTGTAGGCCTAGTCAGGGCTTTGTTTTTCTATAGTACCGGCATTCTTTTTAGACACTACGTTGCGAGTACCTGCACGGTTTTTTTTTTTAATAGAAAAAAAAAACCCATGGCTTATTATCATATACAGTGCTAGTTTGACCATATTTTTTATCGACCAATCGGTACTCGATAATGTCAAGGTACGCCTTTACTTCTGTTAACATTTCCCGGTGCCCATTTTAAGCTGGGTCATCCTGGAAGTCGCGATTACTTTTTTTTAAAATCGTCTTCATGAGGACTTGAATATAGACCCACAGGGTTAGGTGGCAGGTATTGGTGCTAGTTATTAAGTCAAGAGTCGCTGTGATCTTAAATGCATCATTATCAGGTGCCGATGGACCTGTTAAAATATGTTCTAATACCACGTAGCAGCAACGAAACTCGGTCCCTCGCCAAATGTCTAACCTCGTGAGCTTTTCTACCCAAGTTGTTACTAATATCCTGTGTCCATCTTCGTGCTAGTTGACAGCTGCCCGTTTCCTGGGACATTCCTTTTGCAACTATCCTTTCCAGTCTGCCACGGCACTTGCTACGGTCAAACTATTTCATTTTTCCGAGACAAGATGCTGTTTACTAGTCAAACTTTCTTGATGTTCAGATTTTTAGGGCATAAGTATTTCTTTTCATCTTGGTTTATGATGTTCTGCGAATCTTTTTATATTATAGCATTTCAGTTCAAACCCCCCCCCCCCCCTACATGTGAGATAGGTCAGGCCTCACATCCGTATTCCCCGTGTGGGTTCTACAGGGGCCCCATTGTGTGTGTGTGTGGGAGGGGGGGGGGGAAGTAAAGTCGGGAGATGTGAACCAGCGTCACTGCATACGGTTATAAACCATAAGTGCTCTGCCACCAGTACGGACAGCTGATAAGAATTGTCCGCCTGTGTCGCCGTTCGCACGTAACTCTGTAACTACATTTACCCCAGAAGCATATCGTAGGAGTCGACTAATTGAGGACTTCCTTGAAGTTGTCAGAGTGCATCTGCCCGAACGGCAAGGGACAACCAGATGCACACAAATAAGCCAGTAAAATGGAGGTACACGTAAAACTCACAGACTCTGGCATAAATGGACGAGCTGGGACTTTATGCCAGAGCTTACAGCTGGTGAACAAAGAAGAAGAAAAAGACATCCATGTGTTGTTACAGGGAAGAGGCACACCCTCCAGATTGTGACCTTGATTTTTGTGCTGCTGCTTAACCACAGACTTTTAACGCTATACACCTCAAGGAATGAAAATGTTCACATTCCTGTCAGAAGTAAAGGTGGCATAGTGGTTAAATGCTTGCCTGAAGATCTAGGATTCAAATCCACATCTCACCGTGCATGTCGTTAAAAGGAGTCTAATTAGGGGTTTCTGCTTCGAAGTGCATGTGCCTGAGAGGCGAGAAATCATTAGTCCGTATACAAGTAAGCCTGGTCTGTAAAACAGATGTGAACGTAAAACTCAAGTTCTGGAGCTAGATTTAAGTCCAGAAGACTACAAACAACCAGAACGTTAAGCCAGAGTTTACTGTAAAAAAAAGAAAAAAAAAGTAAAGATCCCCTTTCACGCCTTTAGGCATCTCGGATAAATGGGAAGAGCGCTCATATTTTTTACAGACTAGGTGGGTAATGTGGTCAGCATTACGTGGGCCGTCTTTACTTCCCCAGGACAGCCGTCCTGGTACCCATTTTAGGCTGGGTCAACCTGTGACGCTCCATACTATGATAAAAATCCACGCAGCCAGCAGTGGGTTTCGATCACCGTATGTTGGTATTACGAGTCAGTCTCGCAACCTAAGCCACGGGCGCGGCAAGAGTTTATTGATTGCAAAAATAACAGAAGAAAAAGAATCAAAGCTGATATAAATTCCTAATTCAGAAAGTAATTAGCTGAATGGGTTTAAAATATATATACACACACCACTAAGAGAAAATTCTGGAAATTAGGCCAAATAGTCAAGAGAAAAGACCCAAATTCTCCCACAGCACATTTCTGCTAGACACCAAGCACTTCTGCGTCCAGAGCAGCTGGACTTTTCTGTTTTTGCATTTTCTGTCAGGTTAAATGCAAACAGAAACATTTGTATAGCAATCTGTGGGCATTTGTACTAATTCCTCACCAGGTTCTATGTCCTCAAGTAGACAAACCCTACTAAATATTGAAGTCGATCTGGCTCATCTTCAATTATCCTCTTTTTAACTTGTTGCCTTTTTTCGTCCTAAATTCATTATATTATGCAGCGGGTGCCGTGAGTGTGCTTGGACTCTGAGGTAGGCATAAGGTCAGAAAATTTTTATTCTGTCCTCCATAGTTGAAAAAAATTAAGAAGGTAGAACATCTCTTGTACACCCAAGTATAATGCCTCGCTCTGTATCCTTTCCATCATCTCCATCTGCTTATGGCTGTGAACCAGGATCATCATGGCATACTTAAAAACATAAAGGACCAGACAGGGGCGACTGCAGTCGAGCTGCTGTCAGAAAATTATTTTGCTGAACACAAGCTAAAAAGCCCAATGAAGAGGGAAGGAAAAAGCACATACAGAAACAGGTAACTGGGTTTGGATTAAAGCCTTTATCAATGAGCACCACAGCAAGAAGATGAAGAAAACCTAGACACCAGCCCACTTATATATAACAACCTGATTGCCTCACTTAGCATTTAAAAATAATCTGCGCAAAATGACTTTATCACATGTTTTAACTGAAGCCTTTATCAACAACAGTGGTGTCAAGAACCTGCTGTTCAAAAAGCAATGACAAACTACTGGATGCAAAATTTGCCTGCAAAAACCACAACAGCCCAAAAAAATGCAGGGGTTGGTGCTGCAAACTCCTGTAAAGGACACGCCATTAAACTTTATCAACAACAAGAAGCATCCTAGACACCAGCTAACATGTTTACATGATCTCCACCCCTTCCTTTGTTTGGGCCGGTGTCTAGAATTCTTTTTCCTGTGTTCGCTGATAACGGCTTCGGTTAAACTGCTTGATTATTTCTGTGTGTGTGTTGTGTCCTTTCCCCTTTGTTGAGCTTCCTAGTTTGTATTCAGTACAATTATTTTTTGATCACTCATTTCACAGACAACTGTAACTGCACAAACCCAAACAATCATGAATAAGTCTACAAGGGGCTTGGCATGATCTAACTGAGGCGAATAATGTGCTTCATAGGGAAGGTAAAGGAAGAAGAACATGCATGAGTTGGCTGAGGTAATGTGCTCCATTAGGAACCCAAAGGAAGAAGAACATGCATAAGCTGGTTGAGGTAATGTGCTCTATTAGGAACTTAAATGAAGAAGAGCAATAAGCAAACACACATTTATTAGCTAATATATCTTTAATTAGTAGTTTAACAAGTTTTCATGGACCTGTTCACGTTTCTCAGCTTATCTACATACCCTCTCAGTCTGATCTAGGTCACAGGGGTATCGCGTTATACAGCTTTCTTTTGAAAAGGTCTCTCGTGTGACCTACGATCAGGCTATGGGTAAGGGAAGGGGTTTTGGTTAGGGCCAATTCTAGATGTTCTGGGGTTGTTAAAAGCTGTGTTGTCATGTGGTATAGAACAGGCGACATGTAACTGATGTTTCTGGAGGCAAGGCAAAGTGACACCCCTCCGACGTAGACAAGCCTGAGAAAGTATAAATGAAAGGTCAGACAGTGTGTAAATGGGCTGGGAAATGTGAACAGGACCATTTTCACAAATCAAATAAGAGCTTTTCCTTCATGAAACTACAATAATTTACACAAACTCATTTAATGATCTGGCTTGTTGCCAGCAGAGACATCCGACTTGTTTCCTGCTTGCTTCTTTGCATTAAATTCTTCAAGGACAAAGTCTGTAGCAGTTTTTCCTTTGACAAGAATTTTTGACTGCTGATCACTTGGAAATTTAGTGGCTGCTAACGCTGGGTCGGCAAATGTGAAAGGATGCCATATCCCTTGTGTACTGGGGTTGTCTGTGTGCAAGTTCTTGACCAGGTTGACAATTTCGACCCCTGACCTAGTGCGCATATGTTCAGTCCACTTGCAGATCTCAAGAGGCTGTTTTCCACTCATGCCCATTGCCTCTCTTCGACCATTCACTGCAAAGAATAATAACTGACATTATTTTCACAGTGAAAATAATTTTAAAAAATCACGACCCAACATAAAAACTATAAGTGTAAGTACTTATAATCAATACAGATGCAACTATTTAAACTCTTTGGCTGTAAAGATTTGTTTTAAAAAAAACCACTACAAATATATATATATGTATATAATAAAAATTTAAACAAGAGATATGACCGCATGTTAAACAGAAAGTAAGTATTGGGCATTTAGGACTAGACCTATATTTTTTAGACCTATGGCACTCGGTGGCTGACATGGTCAACATCACAGGAACTGAACAGAAAAAAAAAAAGTCAACAGGTTATGAATTCTAGAAGGCAGCATTCTAACACTTGCTTTTGGTCAATATGGTGGAAAGGCTAGTGTGCTGTTTTTAGCCATGGCAAGTTTTTGCTTCTGACAATACTTAGCCATTGCATTTTCTTCCAAATGTAGACAAAGTATATAGCTCCGTCGCCCAGCTACTGAGTGCATGGTGTGACATTGTCAACTGCAAATTTCATTTGGAATGCTTTTCAGCATGTGATCCTGTCGGTGATAGATTATGGACTTGGAATGCTTACCATATCAAAGAGTCAGCTGATGAAACTTGGAACGCATACAGAATGAAGCCATGCGGGTAATTCTGGGATGTACAAGAGATACCCCAGTAGTATGTATGCGATATATACTTGCACTGCCCACTATTGCAGATAGGCTTCACGTTCTGCAAGCAGAGTCACACCTCAGAGTAGCTGCAGACAAGAAGCACCTCTCACATGAAGCCCTGGGTGGAGCTAAGGGTCAAAGACTGAAAAGAGGAAGGTCTTGGATGGCGCAAGCTGAAGACACAAACAGACATGTGTGCAGGCTTGATAAATTTGTGTGAAGTGAGGAGTGGGTCAAAGTGTCCCAGCAAGTTTCAGACTTGTGCAGGGTTCTTATCACTTTGTGTCGTGAGTGTAGGGACTGGCTAGCTGGCGCTGCAGAATCAAAAGTTCAACAAATGATTTATGATAATTCACGCCTAAGTGATGTGATTATCTATAAAGATTGTGTTGAAGGGAAGACAAAGTGTATGGGGATTTATAGCAAAGGTGAATGGACATCACTTAGTGCAACAAAGCCAGGCATATGATATCACGTCTAGTCTGAGAATGGAGATGGAGGCAGTCACTGCTGCCTTCCACTGGCTTGGGAATCAGCTTGATACACATGCCGTGATTGTCACTGACTCACACAGCATTTTGAGAAAGGTGGAGACAGATAAGCAGAGTGGTAAGCATCACTTCAGAGGTCCCAGGTAGTTAGTATCCTTTGGATATTCTCTCCAGGTCATGTCGGTGTGTTGAGAAATGAACAGGCAGATAGACTGGCCGGTTTTGCACCACATGGTGGTGAACTGATGTATGACAAGCTAGTCGTTGTGAGGTCCCCCTGGGAACGAGTGAATAGTGCGGAAGCGCAAACAGATAATTACGGTCTGAGGAGAATGGCAATGCGAGGAGTTACCAGGGGATCTAGCGGATGCTTAACACTCAAGGGAAGGGCCAGAGGGACATAAAATCAGTCAGTTACTGGTACCATCAGAATTGGAACTCTTCGTTTGCTGCTGAAGATGGGGACGGAGCGCTTATGGGGTTCATGAGTGTTGTGATGTCGATTCTTAATTCAAAATTTTTTTAACTGGGCACAACATAATTTGTGCTGTGAACTGCAGATTACGAAAATGATAAGTGGCCTGTTGCCACAGAACAGGTGGTGCCTTTTGCTATTTATTGTGAGAGCAACTACTGATTTGTTGTAACTGCGGTTCCGACTGATGACAAACTGCATTTCTGGTGTCTAACTTCTTCTTCGCTTTCACCAGCTGTAAACTCTGGTGGAAAGTTCTGGTTGTTCATCCACTTCTGGACTGCAGTCCTGTTCCAGAACCTGATTGTTGTGTGTGCATCCGTTTTACAGACCCGACTCATTTGTATGCAGACTGCTTGTTCCTTGCTTTTCAGGCAGATGCACTCCGCCTTCACTTCGAAGGAAGTTCCCAATTAGTCGACTCTTACAATATGCTTCTGGGTAGGCAGTGGATCTATTCTTGTTTTCCCTAAAATAGGGTCCCGGAACCCACACGGGGATGGTGGTATCTAACTGTCTGTGCTGGCACTTTTGACAGCTGCCTCCTGCATTTTGGGCATGTGTGTCTTCTTCCTTTTCTTAGCGCTCACTGGCTGTAAACTCATCCATCTCCTAACTCTGGTTTGGTGAAGAGTTCAAGTTTTGTATGCACATCAATTTTACAGCCCAGGCTTTTTTATATGCAAACTGTTGGTTCCTCGCTTCTCAGGCAGATGCACTCCAACTTCAAAGGAAACATGCTTGTTAAGGGACTAGTGGGTCTATTATTTTCACCTCCACCAAAATGGGACCCCAGAATTCACACTGGGATATGTGTGTATGCTTTGGATATGCAGAGACTGCAGCTAAGAATCTGTGTTGCTTTCGTTGGCACAGGAATGGAAGAACTATAGTGTGACCCAAAGTTTGAAAATTGGGATTGTCATAGGCCAGGGGTCAGAGCCCTAACATAGAAAGATTATTAATACAATAAAGATAAAAGTGAGAGGATCAACTTCATTGCACCGGGTTTTATCCCATATGGCTCAGTCTCTCTCTGCAGAATGGCTAGCTGCCTGCCGCGAGCATCACACAGAGCACAACCTCCACAGCTTCAGTGATGATCCCCAGGGAACAATTTAATTGGCTATGATCCATAGGCTGCAAGTTGAATAACCTTGTTCTAGCAACTGTGGCTCCAATGTCATACTGTACTTCTATTGAAACATCTATAGGTTAAATAGGACCCCCCCCAAAAACAAAAAACACTAGTTGCTATCATGAAAAAATAACAAAATATAACAAACTGTTATAACAACAGAGAGAAAATATACAAATCAACAGTGTAATGAAATGAAATTCCTCATTAATTAGTTTCTTGTGTAGGCTCCGAGGGTCAAATTTTTTGCGGAACAAGGGGGAGCGGCGGCGGGGGGGGGGGGGGGGGGGGGGGGATACCCTGACCCTTAACAAACATTTTACAAAAGGTGACTAATTAAGGGTCTGCTAAAATCGAGATGTGTAGATATTGCAACCTAGCTGTAGAACACAGCGTGCTAACCACACACTTAAAAGCCATAGCAAAAACTTAAAAGTTGTATGTGATGATGTAACTAATTTCCTGTCTTATATTACTCAAATTAGAACAAACACATCAAAGTACACTAAGACACAACAATCATAGGGTTTTAAAATGTCTTACAAAATTCTGCGACAATTGATGGGGGTTTATGACGTCTTGGTTGCAGGTAGACCACAACACCAGGGTGCTTCTGAGTGAAGTCAAGCAAATGATTCTCAATGAAATCTCTGGGGGGAAAAAACCCATTCAGTTATAAAAACGCTGCTCTCACAAACAAATCATGACCGTAAAGATTAAAGCAAGATATACGTTATGTACCAAGGAATCCATCTTCGTTCCATTAAGTATATGGTGCCATCCTCATATCTGTTTATCAGTCGGCACTGCGTGTCATGCTGACCTCTTTACTTTTAATGACATTCCCTAGTATCCATTTTTTTTTAAATGGGTCAAAATGAGAGCTCAATGAGTAAAACACTACTTGTCTGTTAGTCCAGTTGCCAAGGGTTCAAATAACACTCCGGGCAGAAACTTTTTCACTGGCTTGTGCTTCTTAGTTGACCCTAAAAATGGGTAACAGAGAATATCCTGGGAAATGCAGGTGACCAGCATGACAATGACCACATAACTCATTGACAATTAATTAGTCTAAGACTCTGGTCTTAAAAATATATAGCTCCAGATACCGAAAACAGGACTTAACCCTGTTCTTTTCAATATATTGATCCATGATATTTTTCACAGAATAAACCATGCACTTAAGAATGCAATCCTTTCTGCAATTATAATATTTATAATAAGTTCATCACTATGACTATTGAAAAGTATGGGCTCTGCTGCAGACATTAGAAAAATAAGAGTAGTCTTCAGGTCTTAGGTAATTGGGAAAAGTCACATTACTTGACTAACTTACTGAACTGAACAGACTAGTGGATGATGACGAACCTCTGAGACACAACTGCGTGACATCTGAGTAAAGCATGGTAAAGTGAAGCGCTTTTCTGCTGTCCTCGAGGCCGAGATATGAGGCATTACAACCCTCTTGCTATAGCCAACATTTTAATGTTTCCTTCTTTATTAAAAAAAAATGAATTTTATAAAAATGCACAAAGTGGCAAAGGATAGGGTGACTTGGGCATGAGCTTCTCAACAGCCTATGTTCCATCGGAGGATCTGAAGAACACGATGACCTGGGCATGAGCTGGTTAAGAGTCTATGATCCGCTTGAGGATCTGAAGGATAGGATGACCTAGGCAATAGATGGGTAAGAGACTATGATCTGCTGGAGGTCTTGAAGGATAGAATCATCATCAGTTCTCGTTATGCCTAGTGGCACATGAGGCTTCAGAGAGGACTTTTCATGCTTTCCTTTCCTGTCCTGTGCAATCTTCAGTGCAGTTTTCCATGTCAAAGATGCCGCACTCAGGTCACTTTCCATCGTTCGTCTCCATGTTGTTTTTGGGCGCCCATGTTTTCTCTTTCCCTCTGGTGTCCATGTGAAAGCTGTTTTGGCAGGTATATCAGAAGTCATTCTCATAACGTGGCCAAGCTATTTCCATCTTCTCTTGGTAATCATACTGACTAAAGTTTCTTGGTTTGTGGCTTGAAGTAGTTTAGTGTTTGAGATTGTATCTGGCCAGAAAATTTTGATAATTCTACGTAGACATGTGTGGTGGAAGGTGGACAGCCTGTGTGCATCCTTTTTGGTCACTCTCCATAAAGAATAACTAGCAAAATGATGCTCTTGTAGAGTCGGAGTTTCGTTCCTCTGCAGTAATTGTTGGATTTCCAGATTTGCCTCATCCTTCCATAAGCAGCTCTAGCTTTGTTCAGGGGTGACTGTATGTCTTCCTCTGTCCCTCCCAGTAGGGACACCACACTGCCAAGATATGTAAAATGTTCTACATTTTCAAGTGATTGGTTACTTATGGTCATTGGTTGTTGGTTTGGACTGTTTGTCATGATCTTAGTTTTCTTTGTATTTATTCTCAGTCCCACCATTTCTGTTGTGCAGTGTAGTCTGTTACTTTTCTCTTGTATATGTTCATGTTTATGTGATAGGAGTGCTATATCATCTGCAAAATCAAGGTCCTCAAGCATGGTGAATGGAGTCCATCGTATGCCTCTTAATGTCCTGTCTACTGTGTTCTTTAGTATCCAATCAATCACAAGGTTGAAGAGGAGAGATGACATAACACATCCCTGTCTTACACCTGTCTTTACTGGAAAAGATGTAATTTTTTATACTGCAGGAAATATGATCTTCTAGAGGATATGAAGTATAGGTTGACTTAGGCATTAGCTGCTTGACAGCCTAAGTTCCACTGGAGGATTTGAAGGATAGGATGACCTGGACTTGAGCGTGTTTGAAATCTTATGTTCCACTGGATGATTCTTGGGAAGGGGGCAGGGGAGAACCTGACAAAAAATAATAAATATCAGAAGAAAGGATAGATTGTGATTATTGGGAGGCACAGAGCCAACAGTCTATATTCAAATGAGTTGAACTGATAAAACGGATGCACATGCAACACTCAGGTTCTGGAACAGGACTAAAGACCAGAAATGGACAAATAACCAAAAAGGCTCTCCTCCTAACTTCTACACCAGCCAAACAAATACTCTAACAGGGCCTCAGTCATGTGTAAAATGCAGACTTCCTGTGACGAACACATTGCGGCAAAACTAGGATTACTTGACAATTTCAAGAGACGCAACACTGCAGACGATAATAGCGACCATTGACAATTTCAAAACATGCAACATTACAGACGATAATATGGAGATGGCGGGGAGACCACGCGCTTCAATGCACATTAGCGATAGTGTTCTTCCAATTAAACTCACCGTCGAGCGTATCCCCCGCACCGCGGATGGGGATCTAAATCAGATGCCTGGGACTCACAAGCAAATAAATTGGAGGAAGTTGCAGGAAATGCGGTAGCTGCTCATGAGTCCCAGCCATCTAGCTTAGCTCCCTATCCGCATACGATTGTGGCCCTGTTAAGGTATTTGTTTGGCCGCCATAATGCAGGGGTAGAAGTTCGGAAGAAAGCCACCAAAACTGTCCTCTGGAGTTTAGTAGGGGAGGGTGAGAGACAATGCAGGAGACGGAAAGGAGCAATAGGTAGAAGAGTGAAAGAGGGAGGGAAGAGAGAAAAAGGAAGAGAGAAAAAGAGAGAGAGGGGGGAGACAACAGAAAAGGGAATCTCGGGAAATTACAATACTGATCGCCAAACACACTGTTAAGATAAACCAGGCCAAAAATAGAACTGGGAAATCCAGCTTACGTCCCTTTGCTTAGCCCCACCACGGCGGACTCTATTTATAAATACAGACGGACCCGAGCCCTACCATTAGCCCCACCATGGCCGACTCTATTTATAAATACAGACGGACCCAAGCCCTACCATCTCCCTATGTAATTCTTTCTAGAAACCATGGCCATAAAGCTATTTATACTATTAATTCTGCCAGAGTCGCTAGAAACAAAGGCACATGAACACACGAGACGGCAGCTGCTCCTTCCCGCCCCATGCCACGCCGCGCTGTCTGCATGTATTCATGGGCTGCAACACAGCCCGCCCTTTAGCAAGCCATTTCGGCTGAAAATAGCCGATAATCAGCTGCCCTCATACCTAAAACAACAGTAAACGAAAGTAGCCAAAACTAGCCAAATGGCAAAAAAAAAAGCCAAATGGCCCCAAAAAATTGCCTAACTGCTGAAAATCGCAGTATTTCTTACGATCTCTTTGCGACGGTCAAAATTCACAGCTTTTTAAGGTCAGAATTTTTTTAAAGGCTAAAATCAAGGTTCATGGTAGGAAAATCAAAATCACGGTCAATTCAAGTTTTCCGGTCCACTACCGTTACGAACCCTAGTGAACAAAAAGTCTCTGTTTTAATCCTCAGGAGGGGTTGCCCAATATCATGACCTGGATTAGTGTTTAGGAAGATTATTCTAAATAAATTAAATGTAAATTTTGAAAGCACAAACAACACCAGCCCCAACCTCTAATAACACTCAAACAGACAATGGACTAGGGGTTGTTCAAGTTGTTGGGAAGTTGCTGTGTGCTCTGTGAACTCTGTGCTTTCAAAATGTACATTTAATAATACATACATACTGGCAGTCAGTATTTAATTTATTTAATAACTTTAACAATTTAATAACTTAAGTAACATTAACAATAATGTTTTCATTTGTTATCTCTGAGTCTGGAATTTCGTAGCGTAGAGTCTAGATACTTACTACTACTCCTAGATAATATAATAGTAAGTAATGTAATAGAGGTAGGAGTTACTCTTGCTTTGCCTCTAGAACACAAACATTTTTTTTTTTTCACCTATTTTTTAGGGCTGATTTTTAGAAGTCTAGAGAGAACAATAATGGAGGGGTATATGCCTGGGAAGAGAGGAAGAGGAAGGCCAAGGAGAAGATGGGTGCAGGATGTGGCAGATGATCTCCAGATGGGTGTATCAGATGCAGGACATCTTGCTCATGATAGGAAGGTTTTCCGGAGGGTTGTTATGGCAGCGAGGTTCCGCGAGGGACATGCTACTGAATGAATGAATGAATGATTTTTAATAATCATAACATGAAATCACATATGTGACGTTTTTATTTTTACTGACCGCATGAATCTGCTGGATCCATGAGATTTACAAAACCTGAACGTTATCCTCTGTAGCTGACAGACGTATCGACCTACACCATTATTCAAAACATTCTTCAAAAAATCTCTTGGAATAGCATTATTCGCCATGTTTTGACCTTTTGAAAGTATGAAAGATCATTTAAACAGAAAACCAGGAAGAAACAACGGAAAACTCTCTTTTTGCAAACATTAGAAAAGACTCGTTCCTATAGTTTATAAATTTGATTATTATTTTGTATTTAAGTTAACAACGTTCAGTTATTTACTGTATTCTTCATTGCTAAATGCTTTATATAATTTTCATAAAAACAGTCTTTTATACGTGATACTGAGTTAAAACATGGACAAAAAACTACAGCTGGAAAAAGAGGTAATAATTATAATACGCAAATAAATGTCAAATTGTGTTTTTTAAAGTGTTTTATTTATTTTGTAGTTTACCCCTTTGGAGACGGAGCTTTTTTTAAGAGTTTCAGTGCAAAAAAAAAAAAAAACACGAAGCTTTCATGAAAGGATCTCATAGTTTATACACACAAAATTATAAAAAAAAAATAAAACGCGTATTTAACATAAACAAAACTATATATATATATATATATATATATATATATATATATATATATATATATATATATTATATATATATATATATATATATATATATATATATATATATATATATATATATATATATATATATATATATATATATATATATATTCGGGGAGGAAAGTGAATGAACTAACAGAATAGTATATGTATGAATCAGAATAAAACTGAAATCTCAACATTTATTCAAAATGCAAATTTTTTACAGGCATTTTATTTAAAACTTGGGATCAAACATGACTAACCTGAAAAATTTGGGTGAATTTTTTAAATGGATGAAGCCTGAATAAGTCTTAAGACTTGTGGTGGAGGGAGGGGGGAGGTCCATTTACGCCTTAAGATACTTCTGACACATGGTTCTACTCATTTTCATTCCTTATGCTATGTTTCGATTGCTATGTAGCAACGGGCCTTTGGGCCGTCGTGTACAGGCAAGCGCACAAGAAAAAGCGCTGTAAAATAACAGATCACATCAAACTTTCTCTAAAGCCGTCATTAAATAGCCCACATGTGCAAGAAATGCGAGAAGCAATCTGATTGGCTGGTATGAAAACCTGCCAGCCAATCTCAAAGCTTTTATTACACTGGGCCGACCAATCGGCCCAGCCGTCCTTTTGGCTAATTTGAGTTGGGCCGATATTGCGGCCGAGTCGTCTCCAGAGGGTAAAATTTCATTATTTGAATATTCAGAATATTTCTTAGTAAATAGTAAGTACTTACTTAATGCTAATAAAACGTGTCTCAGAGCTTCTACTGGCCATGAATATTGATATTTTCTCGAAGAGTCCTCAGTTGAGTGGTTTTGTTTGTAAATTTGTTTTTGTAACTGAACTGTCTATATGCTGTCACATCAGAAATTCTACTAGAATTGATCCAGAACACCAAAGACCGAGGTTCGGAGATCTGTGGAGATGCATGAACGCCTGCGTCAGCTGAGGGGGCACTTGATGATGGTGAACTGTCTGTGCATGATGCTGTCACATGCTGATGAAAATAAAATCTTTTTGTAAGATTGATCTATTTCTAGTTCGAAAGTAAGCTGACTAGTTCTTCTTCTTACTTCTTGTCTGGTTTGATATCTCTTCATGGTGGTACATAATAGTAATAATAATACTGATTAGTAATGCTTATGTTTATTAGATCTCACAGGATGCTCCAATTATAGCTGTTAAAACTAGTATACAGTGATTTGTACTTTTTGTTTCTTTCCTTGAGAAGTTAAGGATAATGAATCCCGCAAGCTGCAGTCATGGAGGGGGAGATGGAAATAAAAATTAAAAAATGATAAGAATCCAGGTTTTTTACCTCGCGGTGCAGTCAGAATATTTTTCAGGCACTAATTTAATTTTTTTGTTTTAGTTTTAGTACTATTGTAATATGCTGACTTGGGGTGAGTACCAGCACCTTTTTTTTTTTAAAACTTAGTGGTGAGTATTGGCACTTTTTTCTAGAAATAAAGCTCTGATAATTATACTCATATTTACTATACGGGGAAGAAGTGTAAAAGTTCAAACAAAAAGCCCCCCAAAAAGAACTTCCAACTAAAGTTTAAAAGTTAACTCTATGCAAATAAGTTCAGTTTCACTTTTTAAAGTACTTCAGAATTCCAAAACTCAAATAACTTGAAATCCAACAGAAATTTTCAAGTAAATATTGCCTCAGAGCTCAAATGCCTGTCATATGTCAATCGCACGATTAACCTGTCAACCTAATAAAATGATCAATGATTGATTCTAATAAAATCTGACAACCTAATAAAATGATCAGTGATTGATTGTAATAAAATCGACACTACTGAATTAGTGAATGGGCTTGGGAGAAAGTAATCTCTTCTTTCTTCTATTATTTATTGGCACTTTTCTTCTTCTACCCTATAAGCTGTGCACAATTAAAGTGATCCTTTTCAAAACAACAAACAGAAACATACAGTAATGTTAGTAAATATTAGCCCTAGATTAATAAATATGTCATACCAAACAATATTGGTATCAGTTTCAGAACACATGATATTTTCTCTGCAGATTAACCTTCAAAACGTTATTCAAAGTGAGCTTGCACAGCTGAAAAGTTCATCAGTGAGTAAACTTAAATATTTAGTCATTGAAGCAAATGTCTTATTGCATTATTTAGGAACTTTTAAAATACTATGTATCGCATGGCACTCAGGTGTCTGCTGACTCCTTCATTCAGGAATCTCTTCCTCATCCACCTTTCCTTCCAGGATAATTCTGAGAGTATTTAATTCTTCCTTGGCTGCTAAAAATAGGCATAGAGCACTTATGGGAATGCTCAAAGGGTACTTATCATGAACTGGCCCGCACGTCAAGCATTACTTCCCCTCCCATTCATGCTGCAGCGGTCTTACAGCGCGTCCTATGTTGTGGGCGTGTCATGTATTCCTTATTTTCAATGGTTTAACCGTTCTCTCTTTTCTCGTGTTGTCACAGCTCACTTGCATGATTATTTCCACGTTGTGCTACTTTCCTGATGGTTCGTGTGTATTGAAACTAGGATGTTTTTATATTTCTACATTCCTTATCAGTGGCTTCTTTTACTGGGGGAAGCCACAGCCAAGGAACATAGAAATACAAAAACATTCCAGTTGTGATACTCATGAACAGGCGCACCTTTGGTGCTACCCCCTGCAGTACATCTTACTTGTGCACAGGCACCTGAGGTGATCGAACCCGAAACAAAGCCTCTCATAACATACCCACAATATAGGACGGGCCGTGCGACCAGCTGCGGCATGAATGGGAGGGGGGGGGGAGGGTAAGGAACTCTTGCTGTGTGGGCAAGTTTATGATAAGTACTGCTCGAAGTGCTGAGATGTTTTTTTCCCTAAATCTTCTTCTTAGTGTTGACCTGCTTGTATACTCTGGCACAAATGTTTGGTTGTTGATCTGCTTCTGGACATTTGTCTTGATTGAGAAGTTGAGTTTTACATGCACATCTGCTTTACACATCCGGCTTATTTGTATGCAGACTGTTAGTTCCTGGCCTCTCAGATGCACTTTGACTTTGAGGGAAACATCCCTAATTAGTTGCCTGCTATGGTATGCTTGTGGGGGGGGGGGGTGTGGCTGCAGTGGGTCTATTCTTTGTTCTCTAAAATGGAGCCCTAGGACTGATACAGGAAGGTTCTTAAATCAGCTCATCTGAGTTCTAAGAGTGTTATGTCACTAATCTACAACCTAATTTGAGAAACTAGTCTAATTCCTGTCCTAAACAAGTAAGAAAAACAAGAATTTGCTACACTTGATGATTGAATGTAGAAGAATGGGTCTTGGTAAGCAAGTTCTGTAACCACTATGCTACTATAAGTAATTTCTTACATGAGGTGTTGTGGTAAATAATGTTATTTGATGTGTAAATAAATGTATGCAAAACATTTTACCTGTCTGTATGTTACTGGGGCCCATAAGGGAATGAAGAAATAGTAAACTACCAATCATGACATAAGAGATAACTGAAGAGGATTTCTGAGTGATTGGCTGTGTAATCCCATCAGAAACTGCAGTTGCAAATCTAGTCAGTCATGAACAAGTTGACAAAGGACTTGACATGCTTGTTAGGGACGCAGTGGATCTATTCTTGTTTTCCCTGCAGTGAGGCCTGGAACTATCAATGGGAAATCAAGAATGTGGTACAATTAATGACAACGGGGCAAGACTGAGCAACTTCTGCACGGCGAATAGACTTGTTATAGGAGGAACACTATTTCCTCACAAGAATATACACAAGCTTACATGGATATCCCCAAACAGAAGAGATGTAAACCAGATCAACCATTTCATGGTAAACAGAAAATGGCGTGGGTCCCTACTCGATGTGCGTGTCAAAAGGGGAGCAGATGTGGGAAGCGATCATCACCTTGTAGTCGCTCTACTACGACTTAAACTCAAAAAAGTTTACACACAAGTTAAGACACAGACAGCACGTTACAATGTTAACCTTTTAAGAGAAAAAGACATTGCCACTAAATTTATAGTAGAACTCAAGAATAGATTTCAAACCCTATCCAGAAGTGATCCAGAAACTCCAACTACAATCAGCATTCAAGACAGATGGAACCAGATCAAAGAAACATACAAATCAACTAGCAATAACATATTAGGAACCAGGAAACAACACCACAAAGAATGAATAAGTAGTCAAACCATGGACTATATTGCCAAGCGAAAAAGAATAAAGAGCCTCATAAATCACACTAAATCAGAACGTCAGAAAGACAAACTAATGTTATAATATAGCGAACTAAATAAAATGACCAAGAAAAGTGCCAGAGCTGACAAGAGAAGATTTATAGAAAATCTTGCAGAAACAGCAGAAAATGCTGCTAAAGCACATGATCTACAAACCCTACACAAAATTACCCAGCAAATTTGCGGAAACAGAAACAATTATCACAGCATATCCATCAGAGATAACCAAGGCAGACTGCTCACCACAGAACAAAAACAAGACATGCAGTGGACTATAAGCCCTTCTCCGACCTC